ATTTTCTGGCTCCATATTTACTCTTGTGAGCACTTGATTTGGTTGCGATCTTACCCTCTAGTTTTGTCACGCTCTACATCACTTTCACAGAAGCACGAATAAACAAACTCATTTCATGTGGCTTACAGTGCATACAGTAGGAAAACAAGTGAATGGAAAGGATGTGAACGACTATGATTTTGATCGCAACCCAAGTGTTTGGTACAATACAGTGAAATAACTTGTTTTGGTGCTCTTTCTTGCATGTTTTGTCAGCAGGTGTAGAGTACTGTAGGTGTTTTTTTTTTTTTTTTCGGCTGTGTGAACACATTTGACCAAATGAGTTGTTAGACCAAAGCAATCCATCTGATTGTGTTTTAGTCAACTTCAGTAAGTGGTTAAAAGTGGATGAATTCAACATGTTTATCCCTTGTAAAAACCTGTATTTAATGCTGTCCAGTTGTGATTGTATGTGTGAGAATTCCTCTTGATGTAAACAGGCCTTTAACGGTTCCTTACTGAATTTACTTAATAACATTCAAGTTAATGAATCAGTTCACCCTAAAATGAAAACTCTGTTATTAAATATTCTACCTCATGTTGTTCCAATTGTCTGAGACCTTAATTCACTATCGGAACACAAATAAAAATATATTAGATAAAACATGAGATCTTCCTCATCCTCCATAGACAACAAGAGTCAAGAGATTCTCAGTCTAGAAATGTAACCAAAAGCATTTTATGTGACTTTAGTAATCTTGTATGAAAGTGTTCATAGCTCTTCACTTTTCCACATTTTTTTATGTTAAAGTCTTATTCCAAAATTGATTAAATTCATTTATTTCCTTAAAATTCTACACACAATACCCCATAATGACAATGTGAAAAAAAGATTTTTTTAAAATTGTTGCACATTTCTTAAAAATAAAAAACCTTAAAAATCATATGTGCATAAGTTTGCCTAATACTTTGTTGATGCACCTTTGGCAGCAATTACAGTCTCAAGTCTTTTTGAACTTGATGCCACATGCTTGGCACACCTGTCTTTGGGAATTTTTGCCCATTCCTCTTTGCAGTACCTCTCAACCTCTGGATGGGCATTTTCAGATCTCTCCAGAGATATTCAATAGGATTTAGGTCTGGGCTCTGGCTGGGCCACTCAAGGACATTCACCAAGTTGTTGTGAAGCCACTCCATTGATATTTTGGCTATGTGATTTGGGTCATTGTCCAGCTGGAAGATTAACCGTCGCACCCCAGTCTGAGGTCAAGAGCACTCTAAAGCAAGCTTTCGTTCATGATGTCTCTGTACATTGCTGCATTCATCTTTAACTTTACCCTGACTAGTCTTCCAGCTCCTGCTGCTGAAAAACATCCCCACAGCATGATTCTGTCACCACCATGCTTCATAGGGATGGTATTAGCCTGGTGATAAGCGGTGTCTGGTTTTTTCCAAATGTAACGCCTGGCATTCACTCCAAACAGTTCAATTCAAACTGCCCTTCTCCCCTGATCACTCAGCTAGATGGCCGGCCAGCTCAAGGAAGAGTCCTGGTGGTTCCAAACCTCTTCCACTTACGAATGATGAAGGCCACTGTGTTCATTGGAACTTTCAGAGCAGCAGAAATTTTTCTGTAACCTTCCCCAGCCTTGTGCCTCAAGACAGTCCTGTCTTGGAGGTCTACAGACAATTCCTTTGTCTTCATGCTTGGTTTGCGCTGTGATATGCACTGAAGGTCTTAAGAGGGTAAGTATTTAATAGCAGAATTAGCATTTTTGGTTGAGCTAATCCTTTAATTTGAAACATAAAAAAAATTAAGTATTTTAATTAATTGTTTTTTTAAGTAAATATGTTTTTATGTTTTTAATGCAAATGTGTTATATTTTTAAAATAACAAAGAATTAAATTAAGAGCCAGGTTTGCTAACATTTTATAGTGCAAATCCTTAATACACAAAAAACTACTGTATTTATTAAAGACAGTGAAATTTTAAAATAGGGTATTGGATATCCTTTTGTAGCAATTTTGCATTCAGACGTGAAATGTTTCGGAGGAGATGGTTAAATAAAATGTTGCAAAGTGTTTTATTTGCTGATTTCACTTTACCCTGAATATTTGCATAAACTCACATCATAACTAATGTTGCATAAAATGCAGTAATATAGATGCTGCAGGAAGAAAAACTGCAGAGAACAAAGAGCTTGTGGTAGAAGAAAGACATTTTTCCACTCATGTTCACTTACAGCATTTTTGTATGGCAGAAGAAGACATCGTTCAAACAGTGATTATCATCGTCTCTACTTGTTTGAAATTTTAGTTATGCTGCACCTGGTAGATTGCATTGCTCATTATGGAAATGAGCTGTTGCTTCTGTTTTCTTGAATTGTCAGTAGATCTCTTGCAAAACTTGCCACTTTTCCATCTGCTCTTTTATGGGATTGAACTCTGAGTTGCCCTGTTTACTAAATCCGCCCACAAGACTGTTATTCATCCTTTACACATTAGTCCTTGCACACTTTACACACTGGACAACGAACGTATTGTTTGCGATCGAACCCAAAAAGTCAGATTACACTAAAGTGAACTTTGGGCCAGTTTTCTGTTCGCACAACATGCTTCTCAGCAAAGATTAGTCTAGTATTTTGATTCTCACTGCTGATGTGAGTTTGGTCACTGCATTTAGTCACTTTTCAGTCTAACATGTCTTTAGCCTGGGACAAAGCAATCTGACAGCAAAAAACAAGCAGTTACAAAAACTGAGTGTGTTGTCACCTGCATTAGGTCCCACCTGGACTAAAAAACTGTGCGTGAACAAACCAAACGAACGACAACCAGCTAAACAAGAATGTACATTCTGCTTCTTTGTGAGATGATGTACCTTTTCATACCTGCAGGTGGCAGTAGTCTGTTTTGTCATTTCACTAAGGGAATCCAGACCTAGTTCTGCACGTATACAAATCATAAACAAAGCATTGTTTTCTTTAGTGGTGGGCAGAGCGAGGCTTCGTGAAACACTGAAACAGTCGAAGCAAATGTGTCAAGGTTTCGAAACATTTCGAAACCCATCTCTATAGTGAACTAGTGGTATTTTTAAGTATTGCTATTTTATGTATTTCCAGTAGTTTTGGGAATTGAGGAATTATATGTTGTTTTGCTGATACATCAAGTGATTCAGTGAAGTGGTTAATACTCTTGACTGGCATGCAGATGTATATTAAGCCGGCAGCTAGCTCTCTACAACTCTCACATGGTTGCCCACAAAAGCTAAGTAGGGCTACGATCGGTTAGTACCTGAATAGCAGACCACATGGGAAAACTACGTTGCCGCTGGAAGTGGTGTTAGTGAGGCCAGCAGGGGGTGCTCAACCTGTGTTCTGTGTGGGTTCTAATGCTCTAATATATCGATGAGGACTCTATACTGCTCAGTGAGTGCTCCCAGGATTTTTTCCCTTCGTGAAAGAGTAGGGGTTTAACCCCAACATCCAGGCCAAATTTGCCCACTGGCCTCTTTCCATCATGGCCTCCTAACCATCCCTATATCATAATTGGCTTCATCACTCTGTGTCCTCACCATCAGCTCAAGGTTTAGATGCTGCACACTGGTGGTGGATGAGGAGATTCCCCCCAAAAATATGTTAAGCGCTTTGAGTGTACAGAAAAGCACTATAGAAATGTAAGGAATTATTATTATTATTTTTATTATTATTATTATTATTATTATTAGGTTTATATTCAAAATTGAAACAATTATAGTCATTTAAAGTTTGTTATTTTATTGCTCCGTTCTTGTGTGTTTTGTTTTAACATAAATCTGACATCCGAATGAACTCTTTAGGGAATAAATATGTGTTGTTTTTGGTCATTTTAAAATAATCTGCATCCATAAAACACATGAAGTCACAATTTCTGAATGCTTGTACAAGCCTGGATTCAAACTTAGGTCACCCGCAGCACTGTTACATTATGCCCACACACGGTCCACTAGACTACAGTCCACTAGATTGTGGTTTTATTTCCGACCCTGTCTATCAAACATGGGTTCGCCAGGTCTTGGAATGCTTGTGTAGTTGCTGAGCCTTTAAATCACAAGTCATGCAACCTGGGTGTTTCAAAATGTTTTGGAACAGTGTTTCGAAACCTCTGCAGTTCGGGATCTCGATACCATGTCTTACCATTAATTACCATGATACCAACCATTAAATTACCATGATACCAATTACTTACCATTTTCCCAGAACTTCTTACTCAGCACAGGGGATGCACCTGTGCAAATAAGTCTAATAATCTAATAATCCATATCATTTGCAAATGTTTAAGACATTTTCTTTGAGTTCCCTTTTGATATTTGTCATTTGCTTAGCTCATCACTTCAGCTTTTGTTCTTGCAATCTGATTTGTAGCTGAACAGCCAATCAGAACACTCTTTCACCGATGGGCAACATTGATTCTACATGCTGAATCAGGCAAACTCTATTTGACGTGAGCAAAACCAGTAGCACCCTGTGGAACACATCAAACAAACTAGCCTGACAAATGTTCACAGATGGCCCAATTATGGCTTGGTGTGTTCTGGCCTTTTGACGTTGAGATGCAGATTTTTACAGTATCTGGGCAAACTTGGCGAGGAAGTCCAGCTGCCCAATGGTCACACAGTAAAAAGTAATGCACTTTTAATCTGTCAAACTAAAGATTACTTCCATAAATACGCCATTAAACCTTTCTATTTGGGATATTCATGTAAAATTTCTCCCCCAAAACAATCCAGCTCTACAGTTTATCTTTTTGCTGACTAATGGCGACAAATATCATGTTCTGTATCCATGTACCATTTATTTTCCCTGAAACTCATTGATTTCTCTCTCCCCTCTCCCCCCCCCCCCCCCCCCCCCCCCCCCCCCCCCACCCTCACATTAAATCCACTCTGAGATTGTTGCTATGTCATGAGATCCACAGACCTCTATGCAATTTGTTCCTCTGTCATGCACAAGCTAACCGCCTCCCTTGTGTGTTTGGCTCTGCAGTTTCTCTTTGAGAGGGTTGAGGGAGTTGCCAGTGCCACCATCATTGATCTGGACGCCCATCAGGTGAGCAGTCCTTTTCCAGCTTCACTGTGTCAGTCAATGGAATTGATGCCGCAGACGAGATAATAACCCCTTTTTGAAGAGGAAATCAATAACTCTGCACTCTGATTACTTATATGCAGCATTTTTGCCACTTCTGCAGCTGAAACATGTTTTTTTTCCCTGGTGTAATGGCTCTTGTGAGTCTGTTAACATTGGCATTGCATTTACTACCCAATAATGGCAATGCATGCTTTTTTTGACTGAGGTTTTTTGGTCAAGTCATTTATGATATCATACCTGCTTTTATATTGTGTAATGAGGTAACTTGTAAGAGAGTAAAGTACTGTAGAATATAGATATTTATTTTCTTTTAATTCTTTTATACATTTCAAAGTTTGACATTTGCATACACTTATGTACACTACATCACTGTGTATATACACTTACCGTCCACTTTATTAGGTACACCAGTCCAACTGCTTGTTAACTCAGAATTCTAATCAGCCAATCACATGACGATCTGCTGCAGTTAAAACTGAGCATCAGAATGGGGTAGAAAGGTGATTTAAGGGACTTTGAATGTGGTATGGTTGTTGTTGCCAGACAGACTGGTCAAAAACATGGTGTCGACAGCATGAATGCATGAACCCATTCTTCCTTTAATCAACGGTTCAGGCTGGTGGTGTTGGTGTAATAGTGTGGGAAATATTTATTGGCACGCTTTGGGCCCATTAGTACCAATTGAGCATCGTGTCAATGCCACCTGAGTATTGTTGCTGACCATGTCTATCCCTTTATGACCACAGTGTACCCATCTTCTGATGGCTGCTTCCAGCAGGATAAAGTGCCATTTCATAAAGCTCGAATCATCTCAAACTGGTTTCTTGAGCATGACAATAAATTCACTGTACTCAAATGGCCTCCATAATCACCAGATCTCAATCCAATAGAGCACATTTGGGATGTGGTGGATCGGGAGATTTGCATTATGGATGTGCAGCTGAGAAATCTGCAGCAACTGTGTGATGCTATCATGTCATTATGGACCAAAATCTCTGAGGAATGTTTCCAGTGCCTTGTTGAAACTATGTCATAAAGGAATAAAGCAGTAAACATAAAGGCAAAAGGGGGTCCAACCTAGTGTACCTAACAAAGTGATGGTAAAGTTATGTCATTTTTACCAAAGTTTTTGTTTTATATATTGGTAACTTGCTTAAATAAAATGTCATAAGAACTAATTCAATTTTAAAATGTATTTACATATTAAAAAGTTGTTTTTAATAATAATAATAATAATAATAATAATAATTAGCTGTTTTTATTATATTAGTTTACTGTGTTTTTGGTAAAATAAATATTGCTTTTCTCTAATAACAGGATAATAGAAGTCTAGACAGCTCTAACAATTAAAGCATTTTTACATATTAATATACATATCATTTTTTTAAGTCAAAGATCAAGGACTGCTTAATATTGCATGATGTGGCCTCTTTAGAGATTACATATGAATATTGAAGGAAGCCACTCTGTTGGTTTTAGCAGCAGTCGAGTATGTCTTATTCAGTGCAGTGCTGAGATGGTAAATTATCCCTCTATTTAATAAAATATGACTGTTCTTTAATCATTCTCACTAAATTATGGGTTTTATGATCCCTCACTGATGTGTAGACTGCACACTGATATCAGCCATATGCTAGTGACTTTTTTTTGTCTTTAAAGAAAGAGATCATCCAAAACTGAAAATTGACTGTTAATTTACCCACCTTCAGGCCGTCCAAGATGTGGGCTACTGTTTTTTCCATTCAATTTTAGCTGATTGCTTGGCCCTTTGTGATTCACAAGATCAAAAAAAAAAAAAAAACACAGAGACACATACATGCAGGCAAAATAAAATGTATACCTGTGGTTCCTGACGAAACATTGAGGCCTTTTTAAATAAAACGAGATTTTTGCCTCAAAAGACCTCTGTGTATTGTCTAATATAGTTAGATATGTAAGGTGATGTTTTTTTTTTTTAATATTAAAATGCCATTGGCTTGCACTTTGATTCACAAATAATCATAGCTTCAGCCAAGCCACTCCCTAACAATCAACTTCAGCACCTTAGCAACTGTCCTTTAGACTTGTATTGTTTAAAACTGTTATTGACTTAAGATTGGATCAACCTTTGTGAGCTCATAACTCTGTCAGACTGTCCTACAGACTAGAGTCTAGCCTCATTTTAGTCTAGTGAGTAGCCAATTACTGATGACTTTTAAACTTATTAGCCACTCCCTAACAACAATGACTGTTATTGACTTAACATTGGATCAAACTTTGTGAGCTCATAACTCTGCATCAGACTGTCCTACAGACTAGAGTCTAGCCTCATTTAGAGTAGTCAATCACTGATGACCTTTAAACTTACTAGCCACACCCTAACAACCAATTTCAGCACCCTAGCAACTGTTCTAATGCATGCTTATAATTTTAAGCATTATTCTATGCTAATCTTGCTGGAAATATGCTAGTGACATGCTAGTCATGCTAGCACATGCTAACATATGCCAATTCATGCTAACAACATGCTAATTCATGGTAGAAACATGTTGATTCATGCTAAAATCATGATATAGCAACATGCTAAAATCATGCTAGTTACATTTTATTTTATTGCATTTTATGAATTCACAAATAGTCATGGTTTCAGCCTAGCCACTCCCTAGCAACCAGTTTGAACACCTTAGCAACTGCTCCATATACTTCCATTGTAAAAAACTGTTATTGACTGAACATTGGATCAAACTTTGTGAGCTCATTACTGCATCAGACTGCCCTACAAACTAGAGCCTCATTTAGAGTAGCGAATTACCGATGACCTTTAAACTTACTAGCCACACCCTAACAACCAATTTCAGCACCCTAGCAACTTCCCCAGAGACTGTGACTAGCTGTTCTAATGCATGCGTACAATTCTAACATACTACTGACATGCTAATCTTGCTGGAAATATGCTGGTGATATGCTTGTCGTGCTAGCATATGCTAATTCATGCTACCACATGCTTTTCATACACTGCCCAAGACAAAAGCTTCTTAAATCATGCATGACCTGAAATTGAGTAAATATAAAAGCAAATGTTTTTGAGTTTTGAGTGAACTAGTCCTTTAACAATGTACTATTTCCTTAGTCACGAGTGTTTTTGTTCAACTAAATTAACAGGAGAGTAATTTGGCTCTTGTGAAACTACATGTTCACTCCTTGCCATGGACACTGGGGACATTGACAGTGAGTAGAAAATATTTAGTTTGACGTTGTGCTTGCCCGAGCGAGAGAAGAGAGCTACATCAAGCAAAAGGGACAAGGAAGTGCTTGATGAGATAACAGAATGAAAAAGAGAGCTGTCTCGCAACCAAGAGCTGAATTGTGCAGCAGAGCTTTAAATGGGCAATCAGCTACAAAGACTTTAAGATGACGCCTGTCACACTCATCACGTCAGAGAAAACCGAGATTCTTTATATTGTCAGGTTTTTTTTTTGTGTGTGTTAATGTGGGGATCAAAATAATTTGACTGAAAGTAAAGCAAACTACATCTCACCTGTTTAGTGAATGAACTATGCTAAGAACATTTTTTGTATACATTTGTGTAATCATCCACTACGTGTACGTTTTTATTCTCTTTTTGTTTTTGGAAGTTTATGGTACACAGGCAACAATGTTGTCAAGATTATCCTCATTCACATGAAACTACAAAATTTACTGCTGCATTGGGCTTGACAAAACATTAGGTGATGAAACTGCACATAAAATGTAAGAGAAAATATTTTGTGTTATTGAAAATTTTGTGTACAGACGACAATGTTTTTAAAATGATAATTGCACTCACAGATTTAGAAAAAAAAAGCACGGAGAATGCTGCAGAATGCATGCTAGGCCCCTAGGTGGCAACGATAATGTAATTAATGTGTACTAAATTGTGTGACAACAATGTTAAAATGATCCATGCTCAGATCTATCTTTGAAAATGAATAAAATTCTGCATTACGCATGCCACGACCTCTGGCAGCAACCATGCACTACAATTAAACTTTTGTTTTGTTTTGTTTTGTTTTGTTTTGTTTTGTTTTGTTTTGTTTTTTGTTTTGTTTTGTTGCACAGAATTACACAATGTTGTTAAAACAATTATTTTTCCCATGGATTGGAGAAAATTACAAAATCTGCATTATACTTTACGAACCAGTAGGTGGTGACAACCATGCTCTAAAATTAAAAATAAATAATAATACTTGTGTTTTTAAATTTGTAAAACCTACACACATAGCATAGAAACCTTGTTTGACATCACTGTTTTAGTTTTCTGTTGCTATGGTTGATACAGAAACAAGCCTGATTTATACTTTTATGTTAAGTACCTCACGATGCATACCTTGCACATAGCCGACACTGTTTTGAGTATTTATACTACTACCTACTATATATGCTGCTCTTCAATAACCTTTACGAAATTAAGAATAATATTAATTCCTTACATTTATATAGCGCTTTTCTAGACACTCAAAGCTGGGGGGCTAATAATTAAAAGCCAATGTGCACTTATCACTTATAACTTTAAACACAAATGTAGCCACCCGGAGCTCATCCATGGACTCAGCACATGTTAAACTGTCAAACCACCGGTCTCGCTTTGCTTTTATGGTTGTCAGCCCTACGCATACCCGTCACCTCTACCAAGCCAACCAGTTACAGATCTTTTGCTTTCACATTGCCGTGCTGTGTTACTGTATTGTGTAGGGCAGGGGTGCCCAATTATTATCATATGAAGGGTCAAAAACCAAACTTGATTGAGGGTGGTGGACCAAAGGTAAAATACCGAATGTTATCATTAAAGTTCCCATTATAGTTACCTAATTTATTAAGATTTAAAAATACATATAAAAATACTTTAATAAATAAATATATATTTTTTTACATTCTATATTGATTTTTTTCATTTGTTCGTTGATGTCTTGTGCGCCGTGTCCTTTGTCTACAAGTGAGAATAT